TGTTCATGTTGCAATTAGTAGATTAGCCATGAGTCATTTGTGATCTTGTTATTTTCTCATTAAACTTTAGAAACTTTAGGCTTTAAACATTTGTTTTGGACGCAGCATTATTAAAATACACTTCACATGAGCAATCAAATTGAAAGTCTCGAGTCAACTTACTGTTTATTATTTATTTAAAGAGGCTATTTAAGCATACTGCGCTCTGCTTACCAATACTTATATTATGCTTGGTTTATCTATATGCAACCACTTTGATGTATAGAAGTGGTATGTCATTAATTTCACAACTTTTTCCTGTTGTCGAGGTAACCTGGTTAGGCGCACTTTGTCCGTAATTCTCTGCTATAATAATCATAATAATTTATAGCTTCGGACCGCTTTATAGTAACTATCTTAAGTTAATTATATTTGAATTAGTGCGTTTATATATTATGCGAAATAGATCTTTTTATTTTGAATATTTTAATAATTTCTAATATGCCATTCTACAAAGTTTTTTAAATGCTACTTATCAGCGTCACACCAAGATCGCCTCTTATAGTATATTTTTGCTGCAAAATAATTGGCTTATGGCTTGTATTTTTCCAAGCTTATCTATTCAAACAATTCCCGATTTGGTTGATATGCCCATTCCCATCACATCAAGGAGATTAACAAATGATATTTCAGTAAAAATTAGGTATTTATTGCGAAGAAAAGTTGGATTTAGAGGAATCTCTCATTTCATAATTGTTCAGCTTACTTTCTTTTTGAGTGGAAGTATTTGGTGAAGAGATTTGAAGGTAGATTACACCAGAAGACGACGGCGGATTCCTCTTGACCAGCTGTCGATTGGCTTTACTGGAACATTCATGTCGACGCTGTTTCCGGGGTAATTTCCTTTGATTCTGGTCAAAAGGTGCTTAGCTTTCACCCGTCATATAACGAACATTTTCAGAGGAAGGTATCATCGTTACAGCCAAATTCAAGCTAACGAGTCAGGAAAGCTCACCGGCAAATCCTTAAAAATCTCTATATATACTCTATATCTGGCCTCTGATAAGGTATATAGTGATTTGGTTAGTTACAGTCATATGTCAACCTTGAAGCCTGTGAGTGTGTATCTAAATTCAATCGACCTCTGGTCAAGAGGAATCCACCCTCGTTTTATGGTGGATTCGACCTTCGAGTCGTTTTACCAGACACTCACTCGAAATGGAAGTAAGCTTAACAATTAGCTATTTATTGTCCATGTTATTCATTTCCCTGCTTTGGAACAATTTTTCCAGTTTTTCTCCAAAATTTAGGAATTACTTCTTAGTTAATGCTATTCAATTAAATTCTTATAATTTATATTATATTTATGAAATAATTATATATTTTCCAAGTCCTTCATTTTTACCGTTTTTACAGGAAATGTTCTTACCCAGAAAGGAGCACATTGCCTTGAACTGGGGGCTACTAAGTCTTTGGATCCCTATGAAACTGCGCAGAATGTCTTCCCAACCCTTGTTCGCCCATTGCAGAAATACATGCGTGCAACAAAACAACAACTGCGACATCCTGTCGACACGATAATCGAGCACCTGGCCGTTTGTTTAGCTTACGGCTTGTCACCGCTTTCCTTTCTTTCTCGATTCTCCCCAAATCAAGTAACGCCATTACAGGACGTTGCGACGGCTGCCGTAACAGCGGGTGCAGTGAAGCGAATGCGCCAGCGTGTCATGAAACAGAAAGCCACATCTGGGTTACTTTCAACGTCTGGAGCTGTTGAGGCGGGAAGTTCAGGTTTGTATTTACCATTACAAATAATCATATTTAAAATTCGAAAAATGCCACGTGACACAGCGAGCGATCTTGATCTTAAAGTTGCCAACACTTTAAAGTAATTCCAGCCAATGCATTCAATCCTCTTCAAAAAGCATGAAGCTACCAGATGAATTATTTT